TGTTTGTTTGTAGGTGACCAAATACTTATTTTCCACCATAATTTGCAAATAAATTCTTTAAAAATCAGACAATGTGATTTTCTGGTTTTTTATTTTCTCTCATTTTGTCTCTCATAGTTGAGGTATACCTAGGATGAAAATTACAGGCCTCTCATCTTTTTAAGTGGGAGAACTTGCACAATTGGTGGCTGACTAAATACTTTTTTGCCCCACTGTACATGATGTTGTGTAATTTGAAACCAAAACTAAGGCCTCAGGATGACTTTAAGACTTGAACATGGTCATTTTTGTTTTGTAACATTGAATAGAATACGAAATTAAATTTAAAAAAAAAAGTATTTAAAAAAAAAAATATATATATATATATATATATCCCGATCCCCGATTTTTTTCTCCCGATTCCGATCTTTTGAAAATCACGTGATCGGCTCCGATCCCCGATCACTTGATCGGATCGGGATATCTCTAATCACAATACAATGATGTACATCCAAGAGTTTACCTTATAAACAATCAACAACCTTATTAATGAAGTTTCAGAGGAGAAGCGATTGGGGATATAATTGAAAGCAACATAACAATACAAACATATTTGGTATGAAAAATGAATGCAAAATCCCATATCAAACAAACAGAAGAATGTTCAGTGAATTGAGATGTGTTAGAAAGAGAGGCGTTAATGTAAAGAAAAGTGTGTTCTCATGTCAAGTAACAACTTGGATAGTTTTTTATCAGTTCTAATGGAATAATCAATTTAGGAATAATATATTGATAATAGTATTGCATTTTAGATTTTCTCTAGGAGACAGTAAATTAAAAGGAAACATTTTCTTCTTAACTTTTATCCATTTGATTATCGTTGCTTTTTAATGACTGTTTTTAAATGCCATATTCTTAATGTTTTTCGTTGTTGTAAAACACTTTGAATGGCCTTGTGTTGAAAGGTGCTATATAAATAAACTTGCCTTGCCTTACCTGAGAAAGCCAAGCTACCTTTTTCCATGAGCTAAACCATATAATTTACTGAAAATATATATATTTTTAAATATCCCCAAATAACTTCTCCTGAAATGACCTCCATGAATAATTATGCGAGTCTGAATGTCTTTCAGCTTCATCAGCCGCTTCTCACGGCACCAGGTGTCTCAGTTGTCTCAGGGCGAGCACCATGCTGTGATTTATTCACCATGGTCCTGTTTTTCTATTCTGGGACTTAATGACTACAATTCCTGTCACATTCTCTTGTCACATTTTCAGTCGTGGTGATCCACAACAGTGAGCTAATGTGCGGCAGCCTGGACAAGGGTACCTTGGGGTCCGGCTCCAAGAAGAACATCTTCTACATCCTGCTGAGAGACTGGGGACAGCTGGAGGCGGCGAACGCCATGTCCCGCCTGGCCAGACTCACTCCGGCGTATCTCTGTAGGTGGCCTCCAGGGCTATAACAACTCTCTCTGATATTTGAATTGATATATATCAGTATCAACAGAAATAAACCTGTTGGTACATATAAGTTGATTAATACATTTTCAAGACTAAATGATCCTGCAAACTGGGTAATCTATAGAGATATTGATTGTAACTTCAGTTGATTTTGTTGTTGTTTTTTCTTTAGCCAACCGAGGCTTCTCTATTGGTATTGGTGATGTGACACCTGGCCAGGGTCTGCTGAAGGCCAAACAGGACCTGCTGGATGATGGGTACAAGAAGTGTGATGAATACATCCAGGCGCTATCCACGGGCAAACTGCAGCAGCAGCCCGGCTGCACAGCAGAGGAGACTCTGGAGGTAGGTGTATATTCATCACAATTAAAATCTTCAATTCAACACGTTTATTTGCCACCGATAGCCTCTCACCCCATGGCAATTATTGAATGCTCACACCAGGGCTGAGTCATCAGAGGTGTGACAGGTTAGCGGTGAACACTTCTAAGTGAATTAGATATGAATTGTTGGCCAGTTTCATCATATCCTTTCAGCAAAGGCTGAGCATGGTCACTGGCTAATAATGGAGATGCCAACAAGACTGTAGAGCTGCCTGCCCCCTTTTAGTCCACCAAGCCCAATTCACACTTCTTCTTTGGATAAGAGACGCCCGCGCTCTTTTGGGACCCATGTCAACACATTTTGGACATCAGCTCGCTATCTTAACCCTCCGGTATCACTGTGGACGTTTTTGTCCATATGGGTCATTTTTCACTTTTCATTTTGCAATAACTTTGGTTATGTTTGTGCAAATGGCCGGATTTTTTGTAAAAAGGCTATTTTCTCGACCTATTTTGGAATTCCAATTTCAATTTTTCAAATTGGTCTTTAATTCACTGTGTAACCAATCGACTACGCTTATTGACCATTCGAGACAAAAATGTCCACTGCAAAAGACTTTGATAAAGACATTATATTAAAAGGTTTTTAATTTTCTTCCGTTCTAATAGAAAATACCGAGAATGTATTTTAACCCTTTAAATACCATTTTGAATACATGAAACCTGGCTCTTTTTTTTTTTTTTTACATCAGTCTTCGATATGTCAAAGATTAGCAACAAAATGGATTTTTTGCATTATTAGTTTTTGCACAAAATCAGATTCAACAAAAAAAGTTACACATTAGTCATTCGGGACAAAAATGTCCACTTCCAAAAACTGCTCTAAAATGACAACAGATTAATATTTTTTTTTACTTTTTGGGGTTAAATCTTTCAATCAACTTCAGTCCTGATCAAAAATACCAAATGTTAAATTATGTTCAGGATTTTAACCCTTTAACTGCCAGTTTGAAAACATGAATTTATGTTTTCTATGAAAAACATGCACAAAAAGGCAGTTATTTTCCATATAATAAATGTTGGGGGGGTCGGCTTTTTTTTTTTTATCACAGTCTTGGATATGTCAAAGATTAGCAACAACATTTATTTTGGTGGATTATTAGTTTTTGCACAAAATCAGATTAAACAAAAAAACATGCACAAAAAGGCAGTTATTTTCCATATAATGAATGTTGGGGGGGGTGTAAAAAAGTGTTTTATCTTTGTGCTGACTCCTTTCAAGCACAGTTCAGGCAGATCCACACCAGATTCTCCTTCTCAGGGTGTTTCTGTTTCAGAGGATGAGTCCTGCAGCTGAAGTTACGGGCTGCATGAGACCTCTTGTCCCACAGAGAAGCTCCTCTTCATTTTGTTGCGTATCACAGGAATGAAATGACCATCCAGCCAAACTACACATATTTGAAGCTTTGGCTTTGCAGCCAGGTGTTTTTATTTACTTGAAGGAGTGAATGTATCACTGTGTATGTCTGTTAGCTAAAGAGACATTATCAAAGGACTTTGAAGTTCCAAAAAATTCAAAACATCGAGGTCAAGCTGGGTCAAGATCATACATCTGTTTACCTCTAAGACACATGAAACAGCACAAATGAAAAACAAAACGCCATGAGAGCACACTTAGTCCTGTCTCATTCTCACACACAATCACTCACACACAGGTTTAATGTTTAATATGTACGAGTGTGTATGAGTTTGGGAATGAGGGAGTAGGGTTGGGAACCGAAACTCGGTTCCAGATGAGAACCGATAAGAAAATGCCGGGTACCCATATGAAATACACAATTTTGGTTCTGCTTAACAGTTCCTAAACGCGGTAGACCCTGTATTCCACCGGGTCCGTCTGCGCCGCAGGTCCGTCTGCGCCGTGTATATTTTTTATTTGTAAAAATGTCAGTTAAAGCTTAAAAGCATAAAGATATTTTTGTTATCTAAACGTTTGACCTCTTTCTTTTACAATTTTGGAATCGAAATGGGGAATCGATAAGAACCGGAATCGATAAGCAGAACCGGAATCGGAATCGATACATTTCAAACTATACCCATCCCTAGTCATACAGGTCACTCATTCAGTCATGATAAGTAATGTTGTTGTTTTTTGGTTTGGTTCTC